CACCACTTTGATCACGTTACTCCTATGCTCAAACACCTTCAATGGTTTCCACTGTCAGTTAATGAAAACCAAATTCCAAGACTTTCCCAATATGGCTCTAAACAACTTGCATAATTCCATTGTCTTCTAAATCCTCTATATGTATGTATGTTCCAGTCAAGTTGGACTACTCAGTGTTCCCTGCATCAAACCTGAATTTTTCTCACTGGCATGCTTTTGCCTCATATGGTTTATCTAGATTTTAGCAAAGCTGTTAATATTTCATATGATTTTTGTAGAAAAATATGAAGGGGCATAAGCTAGACAATAATACAATTGGATGGATTTGGAACTGGTTAAATGATTGGACACAAAAGGTAGTCAATAATGTTTCTGTCCACTTAGAGTTCTTTAGGAGAGTGCCCTAGGGAGCTATGCTTGATTCTTTGCTATTTAACATCAATAGAAAAAACAACAACAACAAAAACCCGACATAGATATTATGTTAATCAAAGCTGGAAGAGATAGCTAACACAATGGAGGATAGAGTCAAGACTCAAAAAGATTTTTATAGGTTATAATGCTGGGCCCAAACCAGTAAGATGAAATTTGGGACGGATAAATCTAAATTTGGTTTCCAAACAAACAAAAAACTTCACAAGTACAAGACAGGGGAGAAGTGGCTAGACAATCACTTGTTTGAAAGAGATCTGGGGGTTTTAGTGGACCACAAACAAGTTCAATATAAGTCAACAGTGCAATATGGAAGCCCAAAAAGTTAATGCAATCTTGCGTAACATTAAGAGTTATCACTTCCAAGAATGTCAGGAGGTGATAGTTCTGCCATACTCTGTCCTACATCTGGAATACGGTATTTAGTTCTCAGCATCATGTTTTAGAAAGGATGTTGATAAATTACAGGGCATCCAGTGAAGGGCAATCAGGATGACTTTCAGTTCATGTCACATGAGGATTGGCTGAAGGAAATGCTGAGGTCTGGGAATCATTTCTTGCAGGAGGTGGGACTTCAGCTGATGCTTGAAGGAGTGACTACTATTTAGCAGATGTTCAAATATTTACTGAGAAAAGGAATGAATAATGATAAAAAATGATTGTTTCATAAGAATAGAAAGTGACCCACCAACAGTGACATTAGCCATTTGGTATTTTAAAGTTCTCTGTTCTTTTTTTTTTTAATTGGACAGGGCTCACCCTGAAACAAACACCCATCTTTTTTTTTTAACACTAATATTCTCCCAGTGATGCTATCTGGTTGCAAATCATAGAACACTGAAGTGTCCAATGAGCCAAAATTGCAGGCCACCCAGAGGGCAATGGAGGGGTACGTGGTGGGAATATAAACAATGACTAACTAGCTGCAAAAAAGAAATAGGTCAAAGGCGTCTTTCCAAGAGCTGTGACAGGAAGACAAGGCCAGTCACGTATCAAAGAGAACAGGATAACAGGTAGGCAGCCCAAATAGGACACTGTGACCCATGGAATATTAAAAGACTTGGGTGGGACCCCTATGGAGGATTTATTGGAGAACATATAAGAGTCAGCCAGGATGAAGAGTAGAAAGGTTGCAGTCTTCAACACTGAAGACAGCACCATGTCATTAAGACCATTGATATGTGCAAGTACTAAGGAAGTACTAGGTATAACTTGGAGCTAGTAAGGGTTCTTCAGGTCCAAGGATTAGCTAAAATTCAGTTTTGTGTATTAGAAATCTTTTTTTTTCCCTAGAGGATTCTCCTCTTCAATAAATCTAGAAGGTTCCTCTAAAAAGAGATAAGGGAGCCACACATCTGGCAACCCTAGCTCCCGGTTTCTGAACAAAGAAGTTCAGATCAAAGACATTTTTTCTGGTCCTATATTCTTTAATGGAGATATGCTGCTATCACAAGAAATATTCCATCAGGAATCAGTCAGCACTGAGCCAGCACTAGCTTGGGAGCCATAAAATGATTAATTAAAAACAAACACCTAAACAGGATATTTCTTTTTGCTGCTGATATTGAGAGTGACTCTGACCATGGTATATCTAGAAACAGACCTGTGAAGCCTTAGCACACAATAAAGTGTCAAGAACTCACACTCATCCTGCCACCTCTGCCCCAACTAACCAAGTGATTTAGTGTTTCTTCTGCCTTATTAGAACCCTAGGGTATTGCCCTGGCTCTCAGGAACCAAGGAAACGTCACCAGCAGTTGGCAGAAGGGTTAGAAGCAATTAGAATGCCACTAAAAATGACTTGCCTCATTCAAGGATTTCAAGGCTCAAATGCAAATCTATATAGGGTGTTTCCAGCATTGTGTAAATGCTGGTTTGTTATTAAATGCAATGGCTTTGCTTGGGCCTGTAGCCCTTGGCCAAAAAATATTTCCTATCATAAAATATCTTGGGCTGGAATCTCCAGTACGGGTTTATCAGAAGTCCACATGGAGATCTTAAAACTGAAATGCTCTCTAGCCAAACTAGAGGTGAATTTTCCCTCTCTAAGATTATGTTATGTGTATGATTTAGGAATCCAGAGTCTTTTAGGATCTATCAAGACTATCAATGAAGTGAATTTATTTCCTTCTTGGAGGTGGATTCTGGGAGTCTCAGGTGATTTGCTGGTCATCGTTTGGAGAAGGTGTGTGCAAACAATGCTGTACTAGCTGCCAGCTCCAGTAGCCTGTCTCACAAACTCACAGGGCTAGATTATGGTCTAACACAGTCTAGGGGAAAGAAAACTAGAGGGCTTCAAGAATATGAAGGAGAAAGTCTAAATTCATATAGCAAATTCATATAGCAAAAGATTCCCTATAGTTTGTTGTGTTTATAATAGTGAGGACACTTGTTTAGATAGATATTACTAATTTAAAGGCAAAAGTTTGTGTTCCCAAATATTAATTTCCTCCCCACATTGAGATTAAATAATTTGTTGTTAAACTTTTCCCATTTTCTCCTAGTTTACAAAAATTCTAATGGGAATTGTTAATTCAGTGGTAGAACTCTACTCTTCCATTCCAGAGCCCCCAGATTTGATTTCCAACTAAAATAACTTGTCTGGGCTAAGTCAGTTAGGATACAGTGCTGCTAAAGCTTAAGTTGGGCATCTGATCTCTATGGGCCAAGAAACTCTTAAGACATATGCTGTGTCTAGTTGTACCTTGTGAGAGTATGACAGCTGACTGAAATCCATGATCATTGCTAGAAAAGAAAATCAAATCCTATATCATACTGATAATGTGTTAGTAGCATCATCTTCAAATATCAGTCAGTCAACAACATTTGTTATGTGCTTACTATGTGCCTGACACTGTGCTAGCTAAGTGCAGATTATAAAAAGAGAGGCAAAGACATGGTCCCTTCTTTCAAGAAGCATACATCCTAATGGGGAAGACAATATGTTAATAACTAGGCACATATTGATACATACAAAATGGATGAAAGATAATCTCAGAGGAGAAGGCACTAGCCTCAGGGAGAACAGAAAAAGAGCTGCAGAAGGTGAATTTTGAGGTACTGAATTTGAGTACTGAATGAAACCAGGGGAACTGAGGCAAAAGTGAGGGAACAGAGCATGAGGGACAGCGAGTGCAAAAGCACAGGGACAAGAGATGGACAGTCTTACAAGAGGAACAGCTAACAGGGCAGAATAGGTGGATCATGGAAATGGTGGAGGTGAATAAAGTATAAAATGACTGGAAAAGTAGAAAGGAGCCAGATTATCAAGAACTTTAAATGTCAAACAGAGTAGTTTACACTGGATCATGAGGATAATTAAATATGTGAAGGGAAGCATATTCATTTAAAAATTCATGTCAAACTCCTCAATTCTCTTTTCATGGCCTGGACAGCAGACTTACAAGCTACCAGGAAGTGGAATAAAACCCCAAAGTGTTCTCTTTTTGTCTATCCAACAATCACTGGCAAATAAGTTTCATAAAAATGTTATGTAAAATTTGGGATTTGCAATTATTTTTGCCATTTGGAACCTGACCTGTTTTGAAATAGCTAACATTTCTCAGAGATTGCAGAGCAATATCTATTGTGTCTCCCCTAATGCTGTAAATGCTCTATTACTGCTGTGCCATATGGTTAGGAAAAGTTACTCAATGGAGAACCAAAACCATCCTGTCATTTCACTATTCTAGAAACTCAAGAAGTTTTGCTACTTTTAATACTATTCACTATTCCTATATGTAAAAAAAAAAGGATTTCAAGAGTTAATTGGTCAACTTACTAAATTATGAATTGTGCTACCAACATTTCAGAAACATTTGGAAAATCCAGCTTTTAGGCAAGTTCAGAAATCCAGAAAAGCTGTAGGGATTGACTGAAGGAGAATATACTGAAAGAACTCAAAGAACTACCTGGAAGGAGACAGTATCCTGGCCAGATACAAAACAAAGCAGTTTCTCCCTTAAAAGCTACAGAGAGGAAAGATCCTGGTCCCTTTCTCAGCCTGAAAAGTTACTGGATTTAATCCTGGAGAAGTGATTTTTTTTTTTGGGGGGGAGGTGACCTTGGTTCACTTTTCTCTCCCCTCCACCCTAATTCTTCCCTTGAAAATGCAAACTGGTCAACTCGTTCACTTTGCCTTCTTCCTTCCACTTTCCTAACTCCACTCTCCTATCACTTCACCCCTCTTCTTTCTGAGGCTCCATCATATTTTTAGCACTTTGTTTTGAACCATTCTGATTATTTTCTCCTACTTTCCAGAGGAAGGACGTTTCCTTCTTCCATTCTCTCCTGCTTCAGTGGCCCAGGCTCCTCTATTCCTAAGCAACAGACGAGCTGAGGTTGGACAACCAAAGGGTGAAGATATTCTATTTCCTAAGACCTCTAGGGGTTTGACATTTCTATGACGCCACAGTCTTTCCCACCTTCCCTCCCTCCCCGCAGGAACCCAAACTCTTTGGGCCTCTGAAAGTAGCTGGTGCCTTGGTCCCAAGAAGTCTCCACCTGACTCCTCCTCTCTGGCTAAGGGGAGTGGGGAGGAAGGAACATCTGGGAGGAGGTTATGGTACCTCTTTGCAGGCGTGAAGCTCGGTTCCCTGAGCCACCTGGAAAGCAGTCCCAGCCCAGAGCAGCCGCAGCAGCAGTAGGAACACAGCAGGAGGCCTCTCAGTTCTGTCCCAGTCTCTGGTAGAAGGATGGAGGCTGCTCCCAGCTCTAGCCATAGCGCTGCCAGGAGAGAGCGCAGCCTCAGGTGCTGCTGCTGCCACCGCTTCTGCTGGCAGAAGGAAGCAGAACCGGGAGGGAGGCACAAGGGGGGAGGATGCAAGGGGTTGGGCTTGCCTCAGTCACCTCCCCGCTTCTAGCCCAGGGCCGCCCATCCTCCTCCTTCCACCTTCCCCTTCTCCTCCTTCTACCGGCGTCGCCTTGGCAACCACCTCCTCCTCCCTTCCGCGCGGGTGGGGAAGGGACCACGCGCAGTGCCTTTGCCGCTCACCTGCCCGTCGCCATGGCAGCAGCAGCCGCCAAAGCTGCCGCCCAGGCAAACGCGCCGCGTGGGAGGGCACGCGCTAGAGGGCTGCAAACGGTTTAACAGACACGGAAACTGCGCGTGTAAGTGGAGCTTGAGACATTAAACAAAAATTCTACTGGTTCGTGGTCCAGGTGCCGAGAGAGGGGGGGGAGGAGAGAGAGAGAGAGAGAGAGAGAGAGAGAGAGAGAGAGAGAGAGAGAGAGAGAGAGAGAGAGAGAGAGAGAGAGAGAGAGAGAGAGACAGAGAGAGAGAGAGAGAGACAGAGAGAGAGAGAGAGAGAGAGAGAGAGAGAGAGAGAGAGAGAGAGAGAGAGAGAGAGAGAGAGAGAGTTTAAATGAGGCTTCTTACGTAATGTAGTTCTCTATTTTAGGGAGCTGCTTCTCAAAGTCTTCTTTCCTTCACTCTAAAGGCAGACTCTCTCTTTTAACTGGGAGCTTTACCTGTTAACTGGTGCTAGGTCAGTCTTGTCTTGTCTAGGAAACAGAAGTGTTTGCTAAGGGAGAGAAAAAGGGAAGAAGTAAGGGCTACCATTTGAGAAACAACTGGTGTAGTGGATGAAGAGCCGACCTTGGTGTCAAGAAAACCTAGTCTGTGACACATATATGGCTTTGTGACTATGTCTCTCCCGGCTCCAGATAACTCTGAGACTAGTAGTTACAAAGAACCTGCTGATCAGCCTTAGTAGAGAGAATTTCTTTGCTGGGAGTTCCCCAAACCAATAATAATAACTAACATTTATGTAAGTGGTTTACATATAATTATCCCATTTGTGAAATCACAGGTCCAGTTCCAGCGGCCCCTCAACTTTCAAAATACAGAACACTTTCCAGTGCGAATAAGTAAATACCTCTGCCCTTAGGGGAACAAGAGTACAAAGGTGGGAGGGAGACCTTGAGTGACAGACAGGAGGCATCATATGTCAGGCTAGTCAAACTACCACAACCACCTTGATCACTATCTTCTCTCCTATCTTGACGGAGACAGTTTGGGACTCTGAATTCAACCAAGAGTCTTGGGAATAGTAATGCTTCCAGCTCAGTGCCCAGAGCCATCATCCTGGGAAGAAACTCTCGTGAAAATGCATCCTGGCAACTGCTCATGCAGGTAGGTGCTCTAAGAAAAGAAAGTTCTTGTCTCCCAAGTCTTTGACACCGTCCAATGGTTCAACATTAGAAACCTATGATTTTTATCAGTGGAAATGACATTAAAGAAGGGGCATTACTATCTAAATTCTAAGGACCACGGGAATTTTTCCATCTGATTTGCAGCTGAAACCTTTCATGTGTTGTCTACTCCATGAGAATGTTAGTTACTGGAGGACAGAGACTATCTTATTTTTTATTTGTATCCTTTGCGTTTAGAATGTTTTATTCATTTATTCATCTGAATTGTGGCTCTGATATTCACTAGGTGGCCATAGGTAAGTCACTTAAACCCTCTGAGTCTCAGTTCCCCCTGCCCATTTGGAGATAAAAATAGTTGCACTGGCCACTTCACAGGACTATTAAGAAAAGTGCTTTGCTAATCTTACAACGCTAAAGAAATACAAATAATTATGTCGAATTCCCCAATAGTTTTGCCAAGGGCAGAAATGTCATTTTCCTCCTACCTAGCGAAAGTAACTTTCCACACCGTCTTTCATGACTTTTTTCCCAAAGCAGAAATCTCAAGACGTGTACTGTCTGTCTCCACGTGAGGCAAATTCTCTCCTGCAGACTCCCGAAAAGCTGTGGGTTTCCTTTGCGACACTGTTCCCTAACCCAGTGCAGAGGATTGAGCGTTAGACCTGGAATCAAGAAGACTTGAGTTCAAATTTAGCCTCAGACACTTAGTAGCTGAGTGACCCTGGGCAAATCACTTAATCCTGTTTGCCTCAGTTTCCTCATCTGTAAAATAAACTAGAGAAGGAAATGGCAAACCACTCCAGTATTTTTGCCAAGAAAACCCAAAATGGGATCGCGAAGAGTCGGACACGACTGAAAAACGACTGAACAACCCTCCCCAGACCTCGCAAAGTTTCTCTGGCAGCTATGTGTCGTCACTCAGACTAGCTCAAATCCTGCCGCTAGGGGCCTCTCTAGTCACAGAGGAGGCAGGGTGTCGCCTAGCAACCTGTGCATGGGATTCCAAACAAGTGGCATTCGAGATCTGCATTTGTTAGCGTGGCTGGTTCTGCGCGCTTTGACGGAGTTCGCTTCTCACTATGCCTCCTACTCGAGACCCCATACAAAGCCCCAAGTTCGAGAGTGAAGATACCCACGTGGGCAAAAGGGACTCCCAGGTATATCTCCAGGGATCGAGGTTGGGGGGAGTAGGGGTGGGGGGCTTCATTTCCTTTCTACAAGGCAGAGAGACATGTGGGCAAAAGAACACAGGGAGAAAGAACACAAGATTTCGAATCTGAAGACGGGTTAGAGTCCTCGTTCAGACTATTGACCTGCTGTATAACATCAGGACAGTCATAAACTCCTTGGCCTGGAAGGCTTAGTCATCCAGAAAACTTATTTATAAATAAACGACCACTATTGTTATCCTGTGAGGAAGCTATCAAGGTCTTAGTCTTCCTATGTAGGCTTTTGGAAATTGATGGATTCATGGGATGTCCTGGAGATTCGCTTTTGGGTAACAGGTCTTATAGTACTCCAAAGTGAGCAAGATTCAGTTTAAAGCAATGTAACTTTATACTAGCTCCATTTTCCTAAGTATCTCGGTATCCTATCTCAGTATCCTATCACTTCAGCCTTGAGTCATTCAAAGTGAATAATGCAGTGCCATGAAAGGAAGTGCTCTAAAAGAGTCATACATGTATTTTCAATACTATCCTTCAATCCTTCCAAACTCCTGGATTTTTAAAATGTTATAGCAACAACAAACATTTGTCAAGGCCCTCAATTTTTCATAGGACTTTGCAATGATTTTTCTTTTGCATTTTCTCATTCACCCTCGTATATTAAATATTTGTGTATTTCTTTTTCCTTCTTCATCAGACCCTGAGATCCTTGAGAACAGGAACAGTGTCTGTCTTTGCATCCTCAGCCCTGTAACAATGTTTCCAATAGAGTAGCCAATTTGAATTGGAAGTAAGCCCAACTATATGCAAGGCACTATAATTTTTCATAAGTGATTTGGATGCTTGAAGTGGAGAAGGATAAGAGAAATTAGAGTAATTGCTACTTTATTGTGTGTGGGGGGGTTTTAGGCAATTGGGGTTAAGTGACTTTCCCAGGGTCACACAGCTAGTAAGTGTCAAGTGTTTGGTCTGAGGCCAAACTTGAACTCAGGTCCTCCTGACTTCAGAGTGCTCTATCCACTGCACCACCTAGCTGCCCCTGTAATTGCTACTTTAGAGCAATTTTTTTTTACAGGAATTCGGATGGGTTTGGGGGAAAGCCCAAGCAAGTTATTGTTTTACTCCGCCATCTTGGCTCCACCTCCCCCTTTTTTTTACTTTTTGGTGAGGCAATTGAGTTAAGTGACTTGCCCAGGGTCACACAGCTAATTAAGTGTCAAGTGTCTGAGGTCGAATTGCTACTTTATGGTGAAAAAACAAAAGAGCTTTATTCTGTCTCCTAATGCTTGTAGGGCATGTAGCTCACAATCAGAAACTTTTGCTCTAGAGAGGTAAAAAGCAGGCATTGAAATAACTTCATGACTATATGGTATACTTAGCTTTAATGTGATTATATTAGCTTATAAGATAATGGGGTTTTACCTGTAGTTAGGGTATTAGTTATGTTTTGATGCTTCCCTAACTTTTTTCCTTTCCTATCCTATGAGACTGTTTTATTCTCCTTGACATCTCTTTATCATGACAGTGGTAGACCAGCCCCATCATTTAAATTTTTTTCTTTTCTTTGCCTCTGTGACAAATTATCCTGTTTTTCCTGTCTCTTTTACCACTTCTTTGTTCTTCCAACTTCTGCATGAATTTCTCCCTTCCTATCTTTGCTTTTCTTTTTTCATTTCTCCTCTCTTTGAGAAAGCACAACCACTCTCATGGTTTCAATTATCACCTTTTTGCAGCTGACTCCTGAATCTGCATCTCCAGACAGTCTCTTCCAAACTCTAGACCAGTATCTACATGACCACTGCTAAGGCATTTACACTTGGATACTGTCACTCCAAATCTCAACATCTCTAAGTTGAAACTCACCTTATTGTCAAACAAGCATCTCCTCTTGACTTCCCTATTTCATTGTACGATAACCATCATTCTGCCAGTTATCAAGACTTGAAACATTCAAGGGTCAAGATTCTGGATTCTGACAATAATTATCATCCTTTATCTAACTCTAGAGAGTCGGCTTCTCGATGCAGAGGAACAAGTGGATAGCTGTCATGAAAACCACCAGGACGTAGCCCTCTGATGGCTGTGATTTGTGTCTTACAGAAAGCCCCCTACACCAGCCCAGCCCATATTATCCAGCAGCAGGATCCTTGGAACCGGCTCTATGCAACTACCACAGTTGCCAGTGTCAGGCGGGATGTATATTTCTATGACCCAGAGGTACAGAGAACTAAGAATCCATTTCTTACTGTCCCGGAACCATTAGGAAAACAAATTTTTAAAGAAATACGGTCAGACTTGGACCTTTTTGGAAGGTCTGTCCTTCCTTATCTATAATCTAAAGGTCTACCAAGAAAGTAATCCAGAACTCTCCTGCCCCACTTCCCCTTCCCCCTGCCCCATTCACAGATTTCTGGAAAAAGAATCACCAAGAGAAAATACTGTTCTTGGCTCTGGTTCACCTTGAGTAAGTCTAAGTCACTGTCCTTCTGTGGACTTCCCACGTTCAATTGGCTAAAATGCAAGAGGAGCCTAACCATGGAATGGATTAATATTGATCTCACATAGTACAAGTCAATTATAAAATCCTCTCAGAGGTCTTTATTAGAAAGGGGAGTAGGGATTAGACTCATCTAAATCAGAAAATCAAACTTAATAATAGTTATAGGATTATTGTGTTAAGCATTGAATAGTGCCTCTTATGCAGGGTGTCCCAAAAGTCTTAGTGCAGTTTTAATCTGTTAGAATTCAAAGCAACAGCTTTTAAGCTATTAGAGCTTCAAACAGCACTGAGACTTTTGGGACACCCTGTATCAGGACTTGCTGCTGGGTGTCAGCCCAAGTAGAGTCCCTACTAAGCTCTTTGGGGGAGAAGTAAAGAGGAATAGAGCTTGGCAAGAGCAAAAGGCCTATAAACAACTGTCCTGCTGGCCTCCACTGCAGATCCCCTTGGATGACTTGGATTTCCGAATAACATCCTTGTACAATCACCATACTGGATTGTTTCAGGACAAGGCACAGACACTAATCCATCAGGAGACCATTAATGATACCCATGGGTAAGTGGATTAGACAGTGAATTCTAATAAGAGCAGTCAGTAACTTAGTGGGAAAAGTCTGGCCCCAAGCTTCTTTGCTGAATCTACCTACCACCTTCTCACTTCGATATCTCAATATAATTATGTCAAGGATTTTGTCAGGAAGGATCTGACTTCTCCAACCTAGGGAACTCCTGGCAGATTGCAACCCTTCCATCACTTAGTAGGTAAATCTCAGGGAAGTTGACTAAAGCCTAGGATCACACTAAGTACCATAAAGAGAATTGGAACTTAGGACATTCTGACTCCAAATCTAGTAGTCCCATCCACTAGGCCACTAGGCCACATTGTTTCTGCAATAGGATCACAAAAGGTAAATTGTTGGCCAAAAAAAATTAATATTCTAATTTATATATACACACACAAATATATTTTGTATGTGTATATTTCTTATATGTGTGTATATATACACACATACATACCTGGTATAATCTTTTCATGGTTTTCAATAAATGTCTAAATGGACAGAAATCCCTCCATGCCCTCCCTTGCTAGATATTCCTATACACCAGTCCACTCTAGCTGCTCAGCAGAAATACCCTTGGAATCAATTCCAATCAATTTCCCGTTTTTTTGCATCAGTTGGGACACATAAGCTCAAGATACAGAGGACTGAAAATTATTTTTCTCTAGCTCTGGGCTGGCCTAACTTGAATAAATGATAATCTCATTTATACATACCTTCAACACTTTAAAGCACTTTTCTCACAACATCACCCTGTAAAAGGTAGTACATATAGTATTATTCCCATTTTACAGATAAGGAAACTGAGACTAAGACATTAAGTAACTAGCCTAAGGTCAATGGGCAAAATTATTTTAAAAAATGTTTAATCTGCAATTCAATTAAACACTTAGAACTACTATTATGTAAGGCTTAGGCCCTGAGGATACAAAAACAGAACTGAAAATGCCCTTGCCCTACTGGAAGGGGACCTTATCAGTAGAGAGGAATGTGTAGGTATTAATCATGTCAGAGCTGGGGTTTGAACTCAGGTCTCCAGACACCAAGGCCAAAGCTCCTGCCACTATACTAAGACTCTTCTCAGTTTTTTCCCCAAAGAAAATCAAGATTTGGACCCACAGGATTTGAATCCAAGTCCTACCTCATCCATTATGCCTCACTGCCTCCTCCACTTAATCATTGTATGAACCTGAGCTAGTCAGCGGTTCATAGGATCACTGATTTGGAGAGGGAAAGGAACTGAGAGGTCATTGAATCCAACGCCCTCATTTTACACCTGGGAAAACCAAGGCCTACAGAAGGTAGATGACTTGATCACAGTTGGTGAGTGTTCAGAGAACACTGGAAAAAACAAATTTTCTGACTGCAAGGTCACTGCCCTATCCACTACTCCACCCTGCCTCTCAATTCCTCACGTGGGCAGGAGGATGAAAATCCTTCTACTGTCTATTTCACAGGATCAAATGAGAAAATGTGTGCAAAAAAAAATTATATATATATATATTATACATTTTATATATATATATATATATATATATATATGAGTAGTTTTTTTAATCACAACTTAAAGTGACTTTGAAGTTTAAAAAAAAACTGACCACATGAAGGTTGAGCTTCTGAAATGCTATTCTTACGGGTCAGCTTTGGAATTCTGCTGTGTTTGTCCCTCCTCTGGCTTCTTTCCCTGGTTTGTTCCAGATCTGTCAAATTCCAGTATCCAGATGAGATACTGCCTCCTCCTCCCCTACCTCCCATTACGACTCCAGCAATGATGAGACACTGGGTCAGCCCCAAGAAGGACTCAATCCACAGTGTCCAAGGGACCATAGGTGAGGCTGGTTGATAACTGGGGAGGCAGATGTGGAAAGTGTGTCTTTTAAAAAGGCCCATAAGACATAAGCTTTCCTTATTGAAAGCAGTGATGGAGACATTTAGGGAGTTAGGTGGTGTCTGGTGGTGCCACCTACTGGGGAAAATGAGGTCTGGGGAGCATATGGGTTGGCTCAATCTAGCTCAAGGAGACAAATGGCTACACAGAAAATTAACCTTAAAGGTAGAACCCAGGAGTGATGGGTATAGTATGAGAACTGAAGAAAGACAGCAGAAATTACTTTTACAGCAGGGGAAAGTTTTACTTCTGCAAAGCACTGCTCTACCTTTCCATGGCTGCATCCTGAACCATGAAATAGGAGTCTCCTTCAACAATGCACTGAGACCTCAGGGTTTGACAGGGGTTCTCAGAGAGAAGGCAGCTGACCTGAGCATCACAGCTTACTAACTTGTGTCTCATTTCTCTGCAGTGGCCCCTCACAACGCAGCCACCAATGGTGGCTATTCTCGCAAGAACGATGGTGGCTTCTTCTCCACCTAGTCTTACCATTGCCCACATAAGCAACCCAAACAGAGGCTCTGCCACCTGCTAGCCCCTCCCTCTGCTCCTCACCTCCATTAAATAAATTTGCGTTCAGATGAAACCTTTGAAGGTATCTGATGTTTCCCAGGTGGGAAGGGGGAAGCTTACCATCTGGATATCTGCAAAATGTGGGGAACTTTCCTCAGAGTCAAAAACAAACCCAAGCTAGAATTCTCAGTATTGAGGAAAAACATTTTGGATTTGGAACAGAAGAGCAAAGACTTGGGTTGGGGGGAGTAGCTTGTAAATTAGGAGCAGCTAGGTGTTACAGTGAATACAGTGCTGGGCCTACAGTCTGGAAGACTCATCTTCCTGAGTTCAAATCTGGCCTCAGACAGACAGTAGCTGTGTAACTCTGAGCAATTCACTTAACCCTTGTTTGCCTCAGTTTTCTCATCTGTAAAATGAGAAGGAAATGGCAAAACCACTCCAGGATCCAGGATCTTTGCCAAGAAAACCCCAAATAGGGCCATGAAGAACTAGAAATGACTGATCAACAAGCTTGTAAGTTAGTCACTTCTTTTTGTAGCTCTGGACACCCATTCCCATCAGGTCTTCTTAAACATAAGCTCCAAGAGTCCACGAGATTTCTTCCGCAGACATGAGTTACTGGGGATTTCTTTGGGGACCTAGGGAAGCATCCTTTGCAGTTCTGTTGGTCTTATCTGCCAATTAGAGTTTTAAGCCTAAGGTTCTGGGTTGTTTCTTTTCCACCTTCTCCTTCTACAATTTCCTTAACTCAAGGTCAAATTTCCCTTGAGCCTAGTCTATGCAATATGAAACATTAACACTAGTAACTTGTTAGAGAAGCACTACCCTCCAATATATAACATTATCCAGTACTTGGACTGAAATCTCTTGGATCTATGTGCTATTTGAATAATTGAGAGAAAAACTGAGAGTGGACCACTACTAATGAGTCAGAGGTGAGAGTCTGTAGTGTAGTGCACTTATGATAAGGGACCAGTGAAACAGATACAGCTCAGTACAAGCTATAGAAAGTAATCAGCTCGTCCTTGTGTAATTCAGTTGTCTAAGTTACTTGGGGGTCCAGTGGGAGGGACAGTTCCCTGAGCTGTTGCCAATCTCTTACATCATGATTTAGTCTAATCAGAACATTCAAATGGCACTCAAGGAGATTCAGTTTACTGTAAAATCCAGAACTAAAAAAATGTTGGTTTCTAGGTCATTATAGTAGCTAGCAATTTCATCCTGATACCTGGCATTTTTCTACCAGAAAAATAACATCAGAAAGGCTGACTTTACTTTCTGTCTGTGCTTGTGGCCCACAGGTAAGGGAAGGAATTTGACTTAATGGTTAGGACAAGCTATGTAAAGACAAAGACTAATAGAGTGAAATTAAAAGGTAGAAAATGGAGATAAACATGAAGAGAAGGGAGACAGGACTTGACAGATGGAATTGGGAATGGAGGCAAGATTGGGTATCTTTTTATTGGGTACCAATGGTTGTTCAGTTTGAAAGCCATTTAAGTATGTATTTCTTAGGGTTTTACAAAACTTAGGTGGTCTTTCTATACCCTTTCATTGGTTATTTCTATACCCAGTTCATGGTTATTTCCTCCATTCCTCCATTCACATGACTCCTAAATCTTTATTTTCACCTGGTGGGCACCCCATCCAACCACCCAGCCTCTTTCCACCAATCATGCATTTCTAGCTGACTACTGGTTATCTCTGTCCAGGCACCTGAAATTGAACATATCTGAAACTGAACTCATAACCTCATCCTCAACCTCCTAAATCTGCCTCCCCCAGACCTAATTTTATGTCAGTCACCTCAGTGTATAACCCTGAAGCCACATTAGATTCATATCTCTTTTTCCTCCCCACAGTAGAGTTGGATCATTTCTATCTGTGCAAATTTCTCATATCCAGTCTTCCTCCATTCCCAATGAAGTAATCTAGTTCAGGCATTTATTTTCTTTCAATTATTTTAACAGCTTCCTAATTGGATTCCCTGCCTCCCATCCATCTTCCACATTCCACCTGAATAATCTTCATCGCATCTGATCATGCCACTCCTCTACCCTTTTACTGGTTCCTTACTGCCTCCCTAATGAAGCAAATTTTTGACCCTGATATTCAAGGCCTCCCATAATCTGACTACACTTTAACCACCAATCTTTATTTCAATACTGTTCCTCTTCACATAATCCATGTTGTTCCAATCAAACAGGTCTGTTTCCTGGCCCTTATTTTCATCCTGTCCTTTCCCATTTCCATGTCTTTCTTTACTACTTCCCCTCTACCTAGAGAGCTTCAGAGACCTATTTTTCTAGGCCCAAATCAGATGCCACTTCCCTGAGAAGCATTGCTCCTCCAGATGAAAGCCATCTTTCTCTAAATCTTACCTCCCTTCACCACTCCTTTGCAACTTCAATTATTTGTGTACTTCACCCTCCATTACACTGTAAATTCCTTGAAAAGCAGTCACATTTTTGTAGTCCATGAATCTGCACTATTTTCCATACTTGGAATGCTCTCCTTCCTCACTTTAGCCTCTTAGCTTCCTTCAAAACTCAATTTAAATTCTACCTTCTGGAGGCTTTCCAGTTTACCAGCTTACCCCAAAACCTACTGAGACTTCTTTTCATCTGTTCTGTAGATATCTTGTTTTCAAGTTATTTACAGGTTGTCACTCCCATTAGAACTGAGCTCCCTGTAAGCTGGAAGAATAGTGCTTTCTTTGTATCCTTAGCACCTAGTACCTGGCACAGTAAACCCAAAATGCTTAGTGAGTTAGTTGACTAGTTAGAAGTCCTGCAAATTCTACTTCTACCCTACCTTTTAAGAACAAATAAACTTTACTCTCTTAGCTGCTAGTGTCTCCTCTCCCTCCTAATTTATATATACGTTGTGTATAGTCTATGTACATGATCTATATATCTTATGCATATATGTACATGTATATTTCCATATGTAATTTTATATACATAGGTATATAAATGTGGAGGGGAGACACACCAATTTATATGGGCACATACTGTTTCCTCCATATAAGGTTAGCTTTCCAGTGGATACTTTCCTGTTTGTCCTGTATCCCCAGTACCTGGCACATTATAGTGGGCAACTATTAAGTGGCTGATTGCTAATCCACTGTTAGTGATGGCTAACATAAAGCATCGGACCTGTCCAAAAGAAGCCAGGTCTAGAGCTATAAGAAATTTCAGGGGTCATTTAAGTCAAACCCCTTAATGTACAGCTGAGGAAATGGATGCCCCTAGAGCTTATGACTTGCCTAAAGCCAAAGCAACCAATTGGTGACCGTTTGAATTGCAACGCTGGTCCCCCAACTCCATCCAGCACTCCTATGGCCAGCTGAATTGTATTTATTCATTCTTTAACGTGAAAAGACCTTCAAATCGAAGAAAGGATGGCCACCACTATCCAAATCCTCATTTCGCAGAGGGCAGAGCCCCTAGTGCTCCGGCGCCGCTCCTCCCCGCACCGGGATGTCGAACTGGCCATCGTTATGGGGACGCCCGCCGGCCCCACTGGAGCTCAAGGGCGCTTGACAGCAGGGGGTCCGGGGGGGGCCCGATGGCTCGCTCAGATCAGAATCGCCTCGATACTCAAGGGCAGGGGCGAGCCCAGCCTCATCTATCTGATCAACTCATCACTTCTGAGCGCCCGGCCCGGCCCGGCCCGCGGAGGGGCTGGCTCGGGGAGCCCGGGAGCGGCCGCCGCCTGTTCGCATAGGCCTCGCCGCACAGCGCCCCGGCCACAGCTGGCTGGGGCTTCGCGGGAGGGGAGCTTCTCATCTCGGGTCGGGCCGGCGAGGCGGGAACCCGGCCCGATCAAATAAGATCAGAGTGTAGGGGGGGAAGGGCTCAGGAAGGGCCGGCTCGGCACGCGGGCACGCACTCTCCTTGCACGCACGCACTCGGCCTTGCACGCACACACATTCACTCCCCTTCCACGCGTCCTTCCATGCTAAACTCGGCCACCTCACGCACATCAAACGCCGCGCGTGCACAAACCTTACCACTACCTAGACCGAGATCCCGCCTATAAAACCGTCCCCCTTCCGGCAGCGCCCTTTATAGCTTTTTCCTCTTCCGCCCCGCCCCCCCCGTCTCAAGGGATTATGGGAGTAACTATGGAGCTCTCGCCGGACGGAACGTCTTCTAGCCGTCGGCAGGTGCTGCCCCCTGGCGCTGAAGGAGGGGAACCAGCCAGGCTGGTAAGTGATCAGGGAGCCTGGTTTCCTACAGAAAACTTCCACATCCCGGAGAAAAAGGAAAATAATGAATGCGTTATGAATGTTTTGAAATCGAATGGCATATAGCGCTACAGGCTTTACAAAGATCTCCCTTCATAACAGTCCTGCGAGATGGGTTATTTTTTGGCCAGGAACTGTGACAGCTTTGGTGTAGGGAACTCCCGGTATGGAACGGCCTACACCAAGACCCTCAGCAGTTTATTGTCATAGAATTGACACTGAGAGAGAGAGAGGTTTAGTGACTTGCCCGGGCTTTTACAATTAGTTGTACTCAGAACCTGAGCCCAGATCTTGCTTACTCCAAAGCCTACCCTCTATCCCTTATGCCCTGCTGCTTCTCTGTGAAACAGGTACTATAGATTATTGTCCCATTTTACAGATGAGGTACCTGAACACAGAGAGGTGAAATGTGTCCTGCCCAGGGTCATACAACTAGTAAATATCAAACTCAAAATTTGAATCTCTGTCTTTCCTGACTATAAGTCCACTGTTGTGTTTACTAGAGTGCACTGGGGGAGTAATTCTTCATAAGTCCACTGCTACTGTTCATCTTTTCCTGAAGGTATTTTCTTTAGAGTAGATTTTCCTGATTTAGAGTATAAATTCATTTCGAGTATAAATGTCATGTTCCTTCTTATGTACTCCCGAAAGGCTTTGCTAGGTGACTGGCTACAAGAATAACGTGACTTGGAATAAAATTCCAAGAATTTTAAAACTAACTTTTATAGGTGCTTTTTGTTGTTACATCAGGGCCATTTCTGGCTATACCCTTCCCCTGTCCCAACCCCTCAAGCGTGGAATCTTCCCTCAAAGCAGAGAAAAACAGTTTAAGAAAATCAATTAGTATGTGGGATAGTGTCTGGCAGCACATATGCAACACTCGACACCCGGGGCGCTCCCGCCTCTTTGCCTAGAGAAGAATTATCCTTATCTATCTGTTCTCTGGGACCAAGTTTGATATTATTGTAACTCAGAGTTCGGTTCTTTTTAGTGTTCTTTTGCTTTATGTTCCTGTTGTCATTGCATATCTGCTCTCCTGGTTCCATCCTCCCATGATTTGGTGTTATTGTTTTTCAGTTGTGTTTGACTCTCTGTGACACCATTTGGGGTTTTCTTGGCAAAGGTAGTACAGTGGTTTGCCATTCCCTTCTCCAGCTCATTTTACAATGAGGAAACTGAGACAAACATGGTTAAATGACTTCCCCAGGAAGTGTCTGAGACCATATTTGAACTCAGAAAGATGAGTCTTCTTGACTCCTGGCCCAATATTCTATCCACTGTACCACCTGATAAACTGGTTCTAAGTAGGGATAATAGCTACCATGCAAAGAGTACTGAATTTGGGAATCAGGAGACCTGGGGCATGTGTAATCCCAGCCCTTTTACCCATTAGCTTTATGGCTATGGCAGCAAATAACTTACTTAGCTCTAATGAGGACGATAGTATTTACATTGCCTACCTCATAGGGTTCTAGTGAGGAAAATTCTTTGTAAACCATAAAGGGCAATTTAAATGTGCTGGCCAGATTTCCAGATGGAAACATGTAATCTCCTGCCTCAATAGGCTTCCAGAGGCCTCCCAGCCACCAGACCACCAGACCACCAGACCATGCTTGTGCTTGCCATGAAGTGGCAGGGCCAAGGCAGGGTCCCAATATGCATCAACTCTTGCCTCCTGCCTGAGTTCCTGGTGGCCCCTACACCACCTCCTGCTCCTTTCTGCCTTGAGGCAGGTTTCCACATGATTCCTAGGATACAATCCCACATGCCATGAGGACATGCTGATATCTTGAGGGCTGATCCTGAATCTTCCAGTTACCTACATTTATCATATACTCTCTATCCACTAATACTCTGGAATCCAGTGGTTAACATACTTAATAAGCCCCTTCTTCTCCCCATCCCAGTGATACCGAATCCCCAGCTTGTGATGAACAAAACATATTCCCCAATCCCAGCTGTCCCCTTTCTTGTTCCCACAAAAACCCTATACCCATCAATGTGCTACTCTAGATCTGCCTGCCCTTCCCACTGCTCCATAATTTAGCCAACTTCCTTTCATTTTTAACATCTTCTCTCTTGCTTCTTCCGCCTCCTAGTACTCACTGATACTTGGCTTGTCCAGATGATAATGAATCCGTGGTTGTCTTCTCCAGTACTAGCCGTATTCTCTCTCATCCACCCCTCCCTTATACCTCTTCCCAGCCCTTCACACATGCACACACACACACACACGTCCTGGATGCCAAGCTGGAATATTCCTTGCTCCCCACTACCTTTTCCAGATTTCCCCCCACTCAGCAACCTTTCCTCCTTTGAGGTTCACATTATCCAAATTTACCTCTCAGTCCAGATTAGTGGCCACTTGTCTGCTGGCCCTCAGAATCCCCTCCCTCTTTCCTCAATGACCTTGGTGCCTCAGTAGTGGCTCACCTCTCTCTCCCCCTTAGCTCCTGCCTTCCTACTAGGGGACTTCAACATACATGTTGATGTCCCCTCAAACACCCTAACTTTCCAAGCCCTCAATCTACTCAGTTCTCATGACCTACTTAGTACCCCAGTTACACACACAGATGGTCATACTCTTGACTTCGCCATTACCCACAAACGTTTCACTTCTGTGTTCAAAAACTCCTACATTCCTCTACTGTATCACAATATGTTATCATCCCAACTCTCCCTATACCTTATGATCTCTAATCTTCTTCTTTGTCCTACAATTTCTCCAGCTTTCAGTACTTTCCCAGGCCATCACCCTACTCTAGCCACACTCTTCAGTTTCCAACTCTTGGTGAGACAGTTCAATTCAGCACTATCCTCTATCCTTGAATCTCTTATCCCTTTGTCCTATCACCAATCACACCTTTCCAAATCCCATTTCTGCATTACTCCTATCACTGACCTCCTTCACCCACCTACTTCCATGATGCTGAGAGGTCTTGACCTATGTCTTGAAGCTGGACTCCAATCCACTCTGGAGGAGAGGGTGAGGCTTATGACTGCACAGCCCTGCCTCATGTATATCCAATTCACCCTCCTGATATCATTGGTCCCTTCGAGAACAAAGGAAGAACAACAACAACAAACATGATACTGAATGGAGTTGGAGTTAGGAAACCAGGCTGAATGGGACCACTCCAAAATTATGCGGTCTCATCTTAAATGGGCCTTCTCTACAGCAAGGCAATGCTACTCCTTTTTATTAGGCTCTCCATCCCACTCACAACCATGGCTATTCCAAACCTTCTCTTCTCTAGCCTCTGATTGCCCTCATCTCAGCTGAGAACCTCATACTTCGCCAAGAGCTCCTTTTGCTCCCCTTCTCTTCAGTTCAGATCCATATATCACCTACCATCTCCATTAATCTGGTCTCTGATGAAGAGGTAGTCCTCTAAGCCGAGACCAATCCCTCTACAAGTACTTTCAATCTCATCCCCTACCATTTCATCTGGCAGATTTGCCCTGCTGAATCACTGCCCTTGCCTTTAATTTTTTAAGTCTCTCCCCTTCCCTGGTTCCTTCCTTGCTGACTGGAAGCTTATCACCCCATCCTTTAAAAACCCTTACTTGGTCTAACCATCCTGTTAGCTGTAGTCCTAATCTTGCCTCTTTTGCTGTTAAATTCCTTGAAAAGGCCATCTTCAATTAGTGCTCCCACTTCCTCTCTTTTCACTCTCTTCTATGTCCTCAGCATCTGGTTTCCAGCATCATAATTCAGCTGAAACTGTTCTCTCCAAAGTTACTGGTATTCTCTGATTTTCAAACCTAATTGTCCTTTCTCAATCTCCATGCTTCTTGACCACCCCACAGTATTTGATGCTGTTGGTACAAAGGGAAAAGTACTGATTTGAATACTCACATTCAAATTCCACTTCTGCCATTTACTACCTGTGTGACCTTAGGTAAGTCACCTTGATCTCAGTTTCCCCAACTGTAAAATGAAGAGATGGGACTAGATAACTTCTGAAGTTCCTTCCAGTTCCAGATTTATAATCTTAAATAGATACTACGGACAACATCCCTCTCCTGGATACCCTCTCTGGGTTTTCATGGTACTGCTATCTCTTGCTTCTCCTACCTCTGACCATGCCTTCCTCAATTTCTTTTGTGGATTCATCCATGCCCCATCTACTAACAATGAGTTTCCCCCAAGCTCTGTCCTAAGGCCTCTTCCCTTTTCTTTCTCTGTTCTCTCACTTAATCTCATCAGCTCCCACACTGGATATGAGGCAACTAAGTGATACAATGAATACTGTTGGACTTGGACTCAGGAAGACCCAACTTCAAAGTCTGTCTCAGGCGTTTACTTTCTGTGTGACCCTGGGCAAATCACTTAACCATTCTCAGACTGTCTCCCCAAATTTAAAGGAGGGACAATGAAAGCATCTCATTCATAGGATTGTTATGAACACCAAATGAGAACATTCTATAAAATGCTTTGTAAACTTAAAGCTAGCTATTAAAACTATAAATGCTATCGTCATGTCATCCTGCAGATGATCAACAATCCATATGCCTAAGCCTAGTCTCTCCTGTGAGCTCCAGCCCTGCATCACCAACTGACTTGTCAACATCATCATTTTTAGTAGTATTCAACAAATACTTATGAAACCACTGTGCCAATTGGTGGGGATAGAAAGACAAAAATAAGAACAGCTCTTCCCTTCACAGAGCTTATATTATCCAGAGGGTATGTTAATATAAAACATATACAAAGTAACCACAGAGTATTTCAGGAGTTGGAGAGCACCAAGTAGATATGGGGATGAGCAGGAATCTGGAAAGGATTCTTTAAGAGGAGACCATTGACTTGGGTTTTAAATGGAGTTAGAGATTCCAAGAGACAGAGGTAAGAAGAGAGAATTCCATACCCATGTAAAGGCACATGGAAGAGAATGTAAAGTCAAACCGGGGAAACAACAAATAAGCTAAGTTAGCTAAAACGAAGAATACATAAGGGGGAGTAGCTTGAGCTAAGTCTGGAAAGATAACTGGAGGACTCCAATGTGAAGGACTTTAAATGCCACATAAAAGCACTGGGCTTTTATCTTGAATAGAGGGCCACCTAAACATTTTGAGCTAGGGACTTACGGGGTCAGACCTGGGCTTTAGGATTGACTAAGGAGCACCCAAGGATTATACTGCAGCAGACTGCTGTGTAGCATTCAGCAGGATTCACTAAAATCTGCATAAGACAAACAGAAATAGACAAAGGCTATAGGGAAAGAGATTTTATTTCCAATAATTTGTACAGACAATGGTAAGTAAAAAAATTGTATTTTAACTTTAAAAAAGGAGCTGCCCTCTTCAATCCACCTGACATAAAGGGGACAGGTTTATGGTAATGCTAGTTTTTTACACTGAATATCAACATCAGAAAAACCAATGTTGACATCTTTTTTCCTTCAGCCACTAATGCATCACTGCCCAAAGGAATGGTTTTCTAGTGTTTTTGTTTGTTTTTGATGATAGGACATGTTAGCTAAACTGATGATTTCACTTGGTTAAGGAGTTCCTGGTTCTCTGCTTATTTAAAGAATTGAACAAGCTGTGAAAAACACAAATGAGCATTTTTTTTCCTGTGCAGTTATTATGTTCACCTCGTGCATTTTTGGTTCATTTGGTAAGAACAGCATTTCAGAATAAAACCCCTCAAAAGTTCACACTGATCAATTCAAGAAGACATAAAGATTGGTTTGGACAAATTGCTGGGAAATGGGACTAGCTTAAACTATGAAGCTGCTCTAAGCACCAACCTCAGGAATGTTAGTCCTATTGGAAAAGAAAATACATTAAAGCTACTGAACTCAATATGTGCAAAACGTGCTGAACCTGGGTCTCTAGTGAGCAGTCCCAAGCTCACGCCGACCAGGTGGATCTCATTCCTCCGTTTCAGAACAGTCACTTAAAGAGGCTTTCTTCCTTGTCCAAGATCCCATCAGTCTCCAGGGCAGCAGAGAATCAGCCGCTTACATTCTTCTTGTAGACCAACCCCCGAGAGATAGCTGCTCTTGCTGGGTCTTACTTGATGACTTCCTACGGCTTCAGGGGACTCCAAAGCCAGTCGACTCGTTTTGCCTAAAGCCTCCTTTCCAGAAGCTTTGGCTGGTTTGGAGGGAGCAGGTACAAAGGATAATTCACTGCTCCCCCTGTGTGGCAAGCACAAACAAAATACTTTCCTTCTGAGAGTTTTAGGAAAAGTAAAACCACTTCTTTTTTCAACCTCGACAGACAATTAACACTCACACCTATGCTTGTTGTTCAAGGTAATTTAATGTGTTCAGCCCTTGTTATAGAATCTATTTTTTGATACAGAGCCCTGGCCTCACCAAGGCCAAAAGATGCCACTGTAGATCAAAGGAGAGAGGTGGGGTTGCCAATACTTTTTTTAAAATGTGGGGTTCTCCAAACAGGCTTGAGCACCCATTCTTCCTGGAAAATTCCCCTAATCTCAAATTCAAATTCATCCTCATTCCCCACATTTCAGAGGCATGAAAAAGCCCTAATTTGTCTAGACACTGTGAACACTATGTGGATGAAGACCGTCCAAATGGCAGCACACTGCCCCCTCTCCAGACTCAATTCTTCCCTTTTTCTCCACCCACAGTAGTTTTTTTTTTAAAGTATAATATGTGGGATCACAAGAGGTAGCCAGACAAAAGTAGAAGTAATCAATTGAGAACTATCTTAACAACTTAGTCTTTTCAAAGAGTAAGTATGGATCTTAATATTTTGGCTAGAAATGCCAATCTTTCTAATACCTAATAACAAATGTTTGTAATATGGTAGGATTTCCCCCACTCCCAACAGCAAATAAATTGAAAAGTTCTTTCCTTCAATGTTCCCCTTCCCCTCCCCTAAGTGGCTACATTTCAAACTTCTTTAATGACAGCAATCAAGTCTAGGAAATTTGAAAAATCTACCAAGGCTTAAGGAAAACAACAGCTTACTAATTCTCCATATGCCATTTGATCTGGTAAAACCCTAAGCCCTCTGCATTTCTCTGCTTTCTGGACTGAACCCAAACAGACAAGCCCTTTCCCAACCTTAGCCATTCCCCAAAAATATCTTGGCAGAATTCCCACACGTTCAGCACCCAGCTGGTTCATCTGCTCTCCTTGTGCACAGAAGGCAATGTCTCTCTGTTATATCCCCAGATGGACATAAAAAAGAGAACTATCCAAAGCCAAACTCTTCCTTGGCATTGCATAACTCCCATTTATCCAATTCGCCTAATCCAGATCAAACAGGGAAAAGTAAGACTTAAAAAATACTCCCTCCCAAGAAATCATGGCCCAGCCTATTCTTCCTACTCTTCCCAGGCTCACTCAGTTTTAAGAGATACTGAAGAACTGCTGAGGAACAAAATACATGACAGGTACTCTTCAGCAAGAGGTATGTAATGTTATCACCAAGAGGTGCGCTATGTAGCTGAACACCATAGACTCTTTGCAGCAGATTAATTTATAAACAGATCAGAGGAAGGTAGAGAAATTGGCTTTCTGGAATCCCCCCAAGCCTGATGTGGGCAGTCCCAAGGAGCTTTTTCTAGGCCTGGTGGAGGCAGAGGATACAGTGTCATCCTGGGGGGCTTTGCTGATCTCAGTCCGGCTCTTCTGCAAGGGGCATAAGTCCCTGAGAGGCCTCTTGCCCCAGGCCCCTTGATTGACAGTTGGAGATTCGGATGTCTTAGAGTTCATTTTATAAACAGAACGTAAAATGCCATCACAATGCAAGCAATTGCCACAGCAGCGTGCAGCCTGGTTCCAATCACAGCAGCTGGTAAAAAAAAAAGAAAAGGAAAGAGGAAAATGACCTCCTGTCTTTCAAACAATTTCTCACCTTCTGGTGAACACTCTTGAGATCCCACGTGTGATAGTGAAAAATGGTTTCAGGTTTTCAGGCCCTGAGCTCCATGTTTGTCTGCCACAATCTGACTCTGGTACAGATGCATGCCCTCTTTCTGCCTGGCACCCTCTTCCTTGCACCTTTTTCTGGAACCCTCCATTTCTGACTTCTCCAGGCTAAAAAGAATTTTCATTGGGGGTAGGGGGTGGAAGAGAAGGGAAGCAGAAACAGGAAACCTCAAGCCCAGGCAGCCCAACACCAACCCAGGGGGAGTGACAAGAGCTTGGCATAACCTGGGTGTGGCAATTCTCAAAGGCAGCTTCTGGTGAGATAAGTGACTTGAAAGTCACTGCATCTGAATCCTATCAGCCTCTCTCAGGAATCTAAGGCAGAGCAGTATGTTTGTCTCTGTGGGGAATGAGACCCCAAATATCCCTTGCCCCAAAACCTTCTTCCATCCTCCTGCCAACAGTGGTTCCTTGGTACCTTAAGTTAGGCCACAAGCCTATCCCTATGCCAATTAAAACATGCCAATAAAAAAGACCTAAAACTTTTGGCCTTTCTAGCCAATCTGCCTCTTCTGTGAAAGCCACTGGGCAGCTGCAATCAACTGGGATGGACATCAGGCCACAGTAAAAAAGCTTCTTCAAGGTCATGAGAAGCCAGGAACAGAATCCAAATGTCCCAACTCAGAGGCTCAGAGCACTGGGCCTGATCAGGAAGATTCATCTTCCTGAGTTCAAATCCAGCTCAGACACTAGCTATGTGACCCTGGGTAAGTCACTTAACCCTGTTTGCCTCAGTTTCTTCATCCATAAAGTAGGAATAATAATAGCACCTAGGACTCCTAGGTTTGTCATGAGGAAGAAGCAAGACAATAATTGCAAAGCATTTAGCATGGTGTCTGACACATAATAAGTGCCATATCACTGTGGCAATCACTTTGTATAGCTCTGCTTCCAGATAAAAGGACTGAAAATGAGGCCATGAGAGCCAAAACCTAAGAGGAAAGAAAACTCCAGGTTATCTTGCCTAGAACTGGAAAATTTTAAGTTGGCCTAAGTCCTTTTGTTAGGATTACAGCCTTCTCAACAAACTCCAGTTTTATCAAAATTTTGTGAAATACTTTAAAAATGTACATGTTGCATCTTATTCAGAAAGTTCAAGGTACTAAAATCAATCCCTGAATTCCTCATTACTCCTGTTTTTAAAGCTCATCTCTATCCTAAATGTCAGAAAAAAATGATTTCCCTTAGTCCTAGATTCTTACAGCCTCTTTTCACTACCAAGACACTCGGAAAGCTTGAACCTCATCTAATAGAACCCTTCCAGCCTCTTGCAAATTACTCAATGATGCCATAAAAATCTTCTCTTCCTGTGCCAGTACAATCTCACCTTTGTAGAACACACCCCAGACTCCCTTCTTCTCGGAAAGCAGCCAGGTCCTGAGGCGAGGCACCTTCTTGAAGTAGGCACAGGTGCAAACAAATAGCAAACCAAATACCAGGATCCCATCCAGGGAATAGACTGTGAAAGGGGAAAAAAAAAAAACAAAACTTGGCTTATCACTGATTGGTAGAAAAGTTAGTACCTGAGCTAAGACTGATGACGCTGACTTGGGAGAGCTGGGGGTGAACAGAATGGTGGATAGCATTTAGTCAATAACCTAAACGATCTAGGCCAACCCTTAACAACAGGAAAGCAATTTTCTGGCATTATCAACATTACCTCAATTAAATTTCAACAAACATTTATTAAAAGCAAGGCTGTGAAATAGGCCCCTGGTACACTCGAAAACTTCTTAACAAGCACCTCCTTTAGGCCAACTTCAACTTCTTTTTTCACCCTATACTTGCCACAGGTTATAACTGCATAGGTAAGACAATGGGTGTCATTCATTAATTACACAACCATTTATTAAGCACCTACTATGTGCTAGACAGGTGCTGGAGAGCTAAAATAAAAAACAGAACAGATCTAGACTAGAGTTTCTCTCAAGGAGTTTACATGGGGGTAGGGGAGGAAGGAAGGGAAGAGAAGAAATATGAATATATGTAAATGCAAAACATGTACAAAGTAAATATAAATTGAGGGAGAGGATACTAGCATTTGGGGGGAATCAGGAGAAGCCTCATATAGGTAGCAACACCTCAGCTGCGCCTTGAAGGAAGAAGCAAGGAATTTTACAAAGAGGAGGAGTACAGAGACCCTTGCAGAGAGACCCAGAGGCAGGAAGTCGTATATGGTGCGTATGGACCAGCAGGGAGGCTAATTTGGCCAGAATGTGAAGTGTGTGAAGGAGAGTAGTGTTCAGTAAGCCGAAGGAGTCAGGTGGTGAAGGGCTTTATATTGGAATAGATTCACTTATTACATACCCTCTACTAGTATAGTACTATATTTGAATCCGGGCAATAGAGATATCCTGTGCAGAAATTCCCCTCCCCCCCACCCTCCCCATTCTGCTTGACTGGGGTGGGGGAGTTTCACTCAGTGAACTGGTATTGCCTTAATAAAGCTATTTTACAAGTATGGCATAAGCTAGGCCAACAAACAGGTAAGGGGCAATGCTGAAAAGGATTACCTAGCTACTGCTGTTTTTTCTAAGGGACTGATAAAAGCTGCACAGCACAACAGCCCTACAAAGTAATCAGGTAGTGGTACAGGAAACACCTGGCCTTACAATCCCAACCAATCAAAGCCCACCGAAATCTCCAGGGACAGGCAAACTGGTATCTAAGAGGAGCACTCAAGAATTTTGAGGCTAGACCAACTGAGAGGACCTACTCCATCCACTCAGAGAGTATCTGCCTTACAGAAACAGCCAAAGAGTTAACAAAATAGTGCCCCCAGTAAAAAAAAAAAGTCATCAGCACTTCTGGAATCAGCATTCCACGCACCACCGATGACAAGAGGTTGACAGGGCATGAGACACTTCTGGGGTTAAGCAAAGAGAATTTAATATGTTCTTGTTATAATACACCCATTCTTTCACTAGAGAAAGGAGAGGAAAGTTTACAGCTATATATGTCAGATTTGGATCTGTTGGCACGTTGGGTTAGGGAAGATGCAAAGATCAACAAACTACAGGTGCTGGAATTCATATATGTATCATTGCTGGCCCATAATTAGACAGCAACTGTGAGCATGACATTCTCTTACTAGACAGAATATGGAACAAGATCCTAAAATAAAACCTCTAACTTCTTAAAGAAGAAAAAAAGGGCTGGAATCTTTAGCAAGCTGAGAAAATCAGGATTCTGAAGTCTTGAGTTCTATTTCTTGCCTCTGCAACCTGGGATGCATTCCCTTAAGGCAGGATGGTGCAGAGGAAAAGATGCTGGACCAACAGTCAGGGAACCTTGGTCCAAATTCCAGCCTTTTTGACTGCTTCCTAATCTCTCTGGGCCTGTTTCCTCACAAGCAGAATAAGGGGTATGGACTATGTAGTCCTTATGCTTTCTCTCAGCTCTAAATCTATGACCTTGCCTATATCTCAAATGTCCTATCCATAAAGGAAAAAGTTAGTCCTAAGGAAAATTCTGAAGCAGCCAAATGGTATAATATCCTGTTACCTCTCACATAAGCATTCCTAGGCCTTCATTTCAACTACTACCTACCCTGGCCACCTCACAAAGATTGCCTTCAAAGGGCACTGAATCTCTGTTGTGTCTTAATCTTTGTGACCCCATTTGGGGTTTTCTTGGAAAAGATACTGGAGTGGTTTGTCATTTTCTTCTCTAGCTCATCTTACAGATGAGGAAACTGAGGCAGAGTTAAGTGACTTGCCAAGGGTCACACAACTAGTAAGTGTCTGAGGCTAGATTTGAACTCAGAAAAATGAAATCTTCCTGACTCTAGGCATGCTAAGGAGGGAGAGGGTTCTAGGCACAGGGGACAGCTGCTCCCTGCTCTAGACCTACCCCATTGTAAAATTTGTTCTCAGAAACTGATCATATTGGAAAGGACCAGGGATCATGGGAAGGCAGATTTAGAGCTAAATGGTATCTGATACTAAAGGAATTTTAAATGGCTTAATATATTCACCTCTGGGAGTAATTTTTATTTTCATAGGGACAAAGATCATTAACACAAGGGAAAGAATCTCTAATGGGGTAATTCCAAGCAGAAGGGACAGGCACATAAGAAAGATTTTTTTTGGTTTCTCAAATCATATCACCTCATTAGCTGCTTTCCCTTCTTCGTAAGGCTAACTAGAAAACGAACATAAAAGGATTTTTATCTAAGACCATGACCGTAATGCTGCTGGAATAGACCCCTCCGCTCCACCCCCACCCCCCAGCTCGGGAAATAAAAAGATAAACAGTATGGCAATTACCAGGTTATTTAGAAGAAGGAATGAGGTTACCCCTCCACCCCACGTGGAATTCAATTTCTAGTCCCTGAAGCCGGAAATATTTCCTTAGATATAGCTTGTTACAGGTGCCTTTACTTGACTGATCAGTGTAATGATAATAAAAACAGGTTCATGGAGCACTTTAAGGTGTACAGAGTACCTTCCTTCAGAATAACTGGTAGGTAGATTCCTACGACATATCAAGAATGTCTGGATGTAAGGAACTAGTCAGAGTTGTTACTTAGTACAACAGAAGATTAATTTCACAAACGTAAGCATTTTCCATAACCAAGAACCTAGGATTTGGTATCAAAGGACCTGGATGCGAATTCTAACTAAGACCCTTCACGTTAACAGCAGTTCCCACGTACGGAATTTGCAAACGACTTTACATTCATTATTTTATTTTCTCCTCCCAATGACCCGGTGTGCAGGTAGACGCTATTATCACCGTCATTTTACATATGAGAAAAAGGGCATGGAAGGCTCATTAACTTGTTCGGGATACTTCCACTAGTTGAGGGTTGGGAGAAGGCTTCTAATCCAGGTCTTTCCGACTTCGAGCCTCCCTCTCGCTCAATCCAACGACGGGGCACTTCCGGGCCTCAGTTTCCCCCTCTGCACAACGAGCGAGGGTCCTTTCCAGCCCTAAGTCGCCAGACTCTAAACTTCTGGAGGCTCCGCTCGCAGGACGCGGACACAGACGCCCCCTCCCCCAGCCCCGGAGGCGGGGGGGGGGGGCTGGCGAGCTCGGGCGGCTCCCCCACCCCCGTGACCGGTCCTGCCGGCCACCCACGGGATCGGACCGAGTCTTGGGCCTTCCAGGGGCTGAGAACGCTCCCCCGGAAGCAGGCTCCCCGAGTTTCAGGACGAGGAGGGGGCGGGGAGAGCGGCCACGTCAGTCCGGGCCCCGCCCGCCTCCCCTCCTCCCCTCCTCCCCGGGCTGCCACGTCTCCCCTCCCCCCTACCCGCGCCAGGCGCCGCTCTCACCGTTCGTCATGACGGCTGGGCCCGGCCGGGCCAGAGCCGGGGGCCTCGGGGCTCCGTAAAAGGCGGCAGCCGCGGCGGCGGAGACCGGCTCCCGCTTGACACTTCCCGATCAGAGCGGGAGTGACTAGCAGGGGACGGAAGACGCAGGCGCAGGGGGAGGGCGGAGAGCGCAGAACCGCGGCCAGGCACGGCCAAGTGAGCGCCGAGCGTACGTGAGGAGCGTGGCGGCGGAGGCGCAGTGTGTAGTCATGGCAACAGGCCCAGCTGGGGGCTGGGCGCTCCTTGTCTGAGGCTCAGCTCCAACCTCATGCTTGGGAATACTAGGCTCCGGTCTGTTGAACTTTGCACAAACCTCTGCCGGTATTAACATGTTTGCTGATAGCTGAGAGATGTGTCGGTGGGCTTTCTGTCTGCCTGCTGCTCAGTTGTATGGCCCTGACTCATCCTTATTTCTAATAGAAATTGGAACTAGCAGACTGGGTTCGTTCGCTCACTATTAGTATCAATAAATGATAGCTCTAATTTCCCTTTCATAACGACACCGAGAGGCAGGTAATGCGATTTGTATATTACATCACCAAAGAGTTTAAGCCACTTGCCAATGATTACACAACTAGAAAATGTCAGATCAGGAGGAATCAAGACACCTAGGTTTAAATCTCAGGTGTACCTTAAGTATTAACCTTTCTGGGTCACAATTTCCTCATCTGTAAAATGGCAATAATACCTGTCTTGCCTTTATCACAGGGTTGTCATGAGGAAATATTTTATGTGAAAGCACTTTGTAAATTGTAAAGAGCAGTAATATGTGTGTGGTATTGTTATTTTCTGGAAAATATTCAGATAGTTGTAATTTACCTGGCTCTTTGGCTAGTACTCTCAAGACCGTCTTGATTATCTCCTATGTTTTGCTCATTCAGATGCAGCCATGGTGACTGGCCACTGCTTTAATGCTTTACTGATCATATATTAATTGATTTCAGAATGTAAAGGTAAGTGTGCTTGAGGCAGACAGAGAAGAAAGGGAGACGGTGCCATATTTTCCATTTAAAAAAATTCGTGGGGGGGCAGAATAGGATGGAGGGAAATACAGTTAGCAATAGTAACTGAAAAAAATTTTGAAGCAAATTTCTCTGATAAAAGCATAATTTCTCAAACCTATAGAGAACTGAGTCAAATTTATAAAAATAAGAGTCATTCTCCAATTGATGAATGATCAAAAGATATGATCAGTTTTCAGATGAAGTAATTAAAGCTCTCTATAGCCATATGAAAAAATATTCTAACTCAATATTGATTGGAGAAATGCAAATTAAAACAATTAGGAGGTACTACCTCATACCTATTAGATTGGCTGATAGGACAGAAAAGTAAATGACAAATGTTGGAGAGGATGTAGGAAAAATGAGACTTTAATGAATTGTTAGTGGAGTTGTGAACTGATTCTACCATTCTGTAGAGAAATTTGGAACAAGGCCCAAAGAGCTATAAAACCATACATACCCTTTGACTTAGCAATACCACTACTGGGTTTATGTCCCAAGAGAGATAAAAAACAAAAAAGAAAAGTACCTATATGTACAAAAATATTTATAGCAGCTCTTTTCTGGGAGTAAAGGATTAGAAGTTGAGGGGAAGCTCATCAGTTGGGGAATGGCTGAACAAGTTATGGTATAGGATTATGATGGAATACTGTTGTACTATAAGAAATGATAAGCAGGATGCTATCAGAAAAACCTGGAGAGACTTACATGGTCTGATGCAAAGTTAAATGTACTGTGTACAAAATAACAGCAATACTTTAAGATGATCAGATGTGAATGACTTAGCTATTCTAGGCAATATAACAATTCAAGACAACACTGAAGGACTTAACGATGAAAAATGCTATCCATCCCCAGAGAAAGAATTTATGGTGTCTGAATACAGATTGAAGCATACTTTTTTAGATTTTCTTTATTTTTATTGAGTTTTTTTGTCTGTTTTCTTTCACAACATGACTAATATGGATATGTTTTGCATGATTACACATGTATAATATCAAATTGCTTGTCTTATCAATGGCGGGTGGGGTAGGGAGGGAGGAAGGAAGAGACTTTGGAACTCAAAGTTTTAAAAATGAATGTTAAAATCATTTTTACATGTAACTGGGGAAAAATAAAAGCTTGAAAAAAATTTATTCATTCTCTGTACTTGAATGGGTGCTAGCTATCCTGAAATAAGTGTTTACTCTACTCTGAATTTGAGCCTCAAGTTTCCTAATCTGTAAAATGTGAATAATAATCTTGGCACTTCTTACCCTGTAAGGGTTGTTGTGAGGATCAAATGAATGAAATATATTACATTAATACATATGTACATATATATATATATATATATATATACACACACACACACACAGATGTATGTGAAGTATAAGCCATAAAACATATATAACAACTATTGCTATATTCAAGTATGACAACTTTTTAAATACTTGAAAACAGCAATAGCTTTTCATCTAGTTGGAGATAATACAAAATAGAATATATATATATATATATATATGCACATAACATGTATATATATATATATATACACACACACACACACATGTGTGCCTATATATGTATGTATGTATGTGTGCCAAAAGGTTATAGGAGTTCAGAGGAAGGAGAAATAACTTACAACTGGGGAATCAGGGAAGGTTTCATGAAGAAATTGCATTTTAGCAAGGCTACAGATATAATTTAGACAGGTAGAGATGATTTGAGAGGACATTGTAGACCTAGAGAGTGGTATGGAGGAGGAGGACATAAGCATCTCTAAATCCAGGACTTGTTCAGTGTACATCAAGTGGTCCATGTTGACTATGCCATTAGAATAAATTATAAGGAGTGATATGAAGTGAGGTTGGAAAGGCAGATTGTAGCCAGATTGTGGAAGGCCTCAAGCACCAGAATAAGTAATTTGTATGTTATTTTATTAGCAATGAGAGGTGGAAACAGTTGAAAGACCTAGCTTTGAATCTTGACTCTGCTGCTTTCTGTCTATAAAATGAAGGGGGTTGAACTAAGTCCCTTCCAGCCCTAAAGTAATATTAAATTCTTTAACTTCTCTCTTAGCCTCAATTTCCTCATCTGTAAAATGAGAAAATGAAGGGTTGGACTAGACTACCTTTAAGATGTGATTGATGCTGCCAGTGTGACTTTGGGAAAATCACTAAGCTTCTTGGTTTCCTCATCTGTCAAATGAGGGGGTTGAACTGCATAATCTCCAAGCTTCCTTCTAGCTCTAACACTGTGACTCTGAGTCATCAATTGTTTTTAAGTAGAGGAGTGACATGATCAGAGCTCTACTTACAAAAGACTAATCTGGCATCAATGAGTAGGATGAGTTGGAGAAAGAAGTAAGAGACTGAAGCCAGGAAAACTAGGTATGAGGCTATTGGAATAACCCAATATAGAGGCCATGCAGGTTTGAACTACGGCAGCAGCAATGGAAACAAAGCAGAGAAAGATGCAAGATAAATTGTGAAGGCAGAATCAACAAGATGTAAGCGATGAGAGAAAGAGTAGTCATATATGATTCCTAGGTTTTTGAGCATGAATGTCATTAAATAGGGAAGTTGGAAAGAAGAGAAGGCTTTTGGGGGGGGAAAGATGATTGGTTTGGTTTTAGGCATTCATTCTGTAAAACAAAAGAAAACAAATAAAAAACAACCAGGTATTATGTCTTTTCCATTAGAATGTAAACTCCTGAAAGACAGGAATGTCTCTGCTGTAACCCCCTTATGTAGTACAGAGTAAGTGCTTAATAAATGCTTCATCATTCATTTTATTCAGTCAGAACATACTTTGTACAATACACCACATAAGACACCTCGGGGATAGAGAGATTAGACAAAATCCAAAAATAACCTATAAGAATCATTTTTGCCCCTTTAGTAGAGTCAGGCTCTAGGAACATCTCTGAATTTAAATCTTTTTTTTTTTTTGCTCTATGTATCCTCTGTTCTCTTGCAAGCATCAGACTAACAAAGCATGAAACAGAAAGCAAAGTTAAGTAAACATTTAATAGGGATCTGGTGCATATCCAGAGTGCCTCAGATGGTGTCTTCACAGGGAGAAAGCTTGGGAGAAGATATCACCTCACCATATGAAGGATGCTAATGAACTACTTCCAGAAGATTCGTATAAGGGAAATGTCTTGGAGAGACAAACTGTGGAACATGTGCAGATATTCTGTAACTGGTTCTGTTGGCTCTCCAGGTGTTGAAGTGGAAGCTTTTTGGTTGAGTACAGAGTTATTCAAAAAGGTCTGTGAGTTTCAGCCTCTCCTCTTGGCCTCAGTGCTCTGGGGGAAGCTTGGTGACCCGGGAAGAAAGTGGAGCTTGTGACCTTATGAGTTCAAAAGGACCAGTGTGCACCTTGACATTCTATGACTTGAGTTTGCAGCCAATTCGGCACATTTATGCCCCGAGACATGAAGAGAGTAGAGCCTCTTTCAGCATCTCATCTTTCCAGAGTTTGGGTTTTGTAGCCAGTGCAGCATCAATTGCCTGATGATGATGGAGCAATTTCTGGGAGTGACCTTTGGGAACCTAGTCCAAGGTAGCCAAGACACAGGTTCATCTGGCAGTCATCTAGTACCTAGATAGGAACCTGATGAGACTAACGCTGTGTAGGAAGTAAGCTAAATTTTGAGCCTAATCAGACCAAGGAAGTGTGATTGGGGGGGGAGGGTGAGAAGAGGAGGAAAATATGCCCTGAGGTGTTGGGGAAATATTTATATGTTTGTTTTTGCTATAACTTTGAAGTAAATATCCCTTTGTAAAAGCTAATCTGATTTTAAGTGGTTAAATGAAACTGGAGGTGCTAGTCACTGGCCCACTGACAAACGGGAGGAAGATACATCCAGTGGTACTTCAGCTGATGGCAGATAAAAGAAATACACATAACCCCCTTAAGAGTACCTGAGAACCCTGAGGGGGAGATGTAATAGACTTGGCCCTGAAAGAGTGGAGCCGAGAGAACCACATTACATACATATCAAGGAATAGAGAAAAAGATTCATACCCAAACAAACAGTAAAAAAACAAAACAAAAAAACCCCACCTTTTATCCCCAGTGGATCCCACTTCTTCTAGAAACTTTTATGGTACTTTTGGCTCTGAGTGTCAGCCGAGATTTG